CTTTAGAACTCATTCCAGTGGACATACCATGGCAAAGAAAATCCTTCGGGCAGGATACTACTGGTCCACTATGGAAGCCGACTGTTATCAGCATTCTCGGACATGTCACAAGTCCCAGGTCTATGCTGATAAGGTGCACATACCTCCAGTTCCTCTGAATGTCTTGACGGCACCTTGGCCTTTTGCAATGTGGGGCATTGATATGATCGGAGAGATCAGACCCACGGCATCCAACGGGCATCTTTTCATCCTGGTGGCTATTGATTACTTTATGAAGTGGGTTGAAGCAGCTTCCTTTGCTACAGTAACCAAGAACGTCGTAGCACGGTTCATTCAGCACAATCTGATTTATCGATACGGTGTACCAGAGAGGATCATTACGGACAATGGTACCAATCTCAATAATAAGATGATCACCGAGCTCTGCAACCAATTCAAGATACAGCATCACAACTCTTCTCCTTACCAGCCGAAGATGAATGGGGCTGTAGAAGCGGGCAATAAGAACGTCAAGAAGATTATGTAGAAGATGACGGTGACGTATAAAGACTGGCACGAGATGTTACCGTTCACTCTTCATGGGTACCGTACCTCAGCACGGACGTCAATAGGGGCAACACCCTATTCCTTGGTATATGGCATGGAGGCCGTATTGCCCATTGAAGTTCAGATACCCTCTCTTCGAATTATGAAGGATGCAGGTTTGAGAGAAGATGACTGGATTCAGACCCGGCTTGATGAGCTAAACTTGATCGACGAAAAGAGACTCACAGCTATTTGTCATGGACAGACGTACCAAAAGCGAATGATCAAGGCATTTAACAAGAAAGTTATACGACAAGAGTATCAAGTCGGGGACCTGGTTATCAAGCACATTATTCTACCTCAAGGTGATCCGTGGGTAAAATGGACCCCTACTTACGAAGGGCCATTTGTGGTTAAGAACAATTTCTCAGGAGGAGCTATGATTCTAACCACCATGGATGGTGACGACCTTCCTCACCCCGTCAATGCAGACATAGTGAAAAGATACTACGCATAATCAAAGACCCGCTAGGTTGACTGGCCTAGGCAAAAATAAGGGCTTCCCGGAGAACCAAAAGGGTTCGGGCAAAAATAAGGGATGAAAATAAAAAAAATATTGTACACCCGGCAAGTCGAAAACCTGAAAAGGCGGCTTGGGCAAAAAAGGGTATCCTGGTGGACTGAAAACTCGAAAGGGCGGTCCAGGAAAAAATTAGGGATCAAAGCATAACACTATGTCTCATTGGATCACCTTGCATCTAGACTTTGGTATCGACTATCAAGCTCGGACGACACTAATCAATCTGATCTACCTTCAACCAGTAGTAAAGTGATGACATGCTCGAGGACATAAAGGAAATAGCAGAGTTGGAACCCAGTGGGATTATTCACATAGCTGTTTTGTTTAGTTTTTCACAAATTTGTGTAAATTCTATTTGTTCGGCGGCATTCTCTTACTAGGACGTCATCCTCTTGTACAAAAACGCCTATTCACAGGCCAAACTTCAAAATCAATACAATTCATTTTCAGACAAATTTCAAGTTGTTTTTCTTTTATCTGTTTTGTTTTGCAAAGAACGTCCAATGTTCATTTTTGATATACGCACTTGACATTAATTGCTGCTCATAAATATTTACATGCGAAACAAAAGACGAATTACTCGTAATATCAGAAACAGGGGCAAATAAAATTGTCCAAACTGTACAGTTGCTCTATCCACCAGGTACAACGGTAAATTCAGCTGAAGAATATGGCTAAGATACTTTCACTCCCCGCAAAGTAAGACAGTAATGATAGCTCTCCCCAGCTGAGACTTGCAACTGTGAATGAATGAATCGGTAATATTCTCCCCCAAGCAGAGTTCATTCACCATCATACTGAAAAGGCTTAATATCCCCGACAGTCTTAATATTCCCCAACGGAGTATAAGAATATTCCCTGGTAGAATACAAGATACCCCCGGTGAAGTTAAAATTTTCCCAGCGCATTCTGAAAAAGCTTCCCCAGTGGAGTTGAAGAATCATCCCCAGTAGACTCTAGAAGTTTGTCCCTGGCAGAGTATAAAAATAAATATCCCCAGCAAAGCTCAAAGGATCATCCCCATAAGAGTCTAAAAGGTTATCCCCAGTGAAGTCGCAACTGAAAGATCATCCCCAGCGGAGTTCTTTCTTTTCACAAACAGGAATTCAAAACCCCAACAGGATCCAGCATCACCAGCAACGATAATTCATCCCAATAGAATTTATCGGTGGAATCCTCAGCAGAATGTCTCTTCCCCACAGAGTAATATCCTCATCAGTTTATTCCCCAACGGAGTTAGCTTCTCCTGCAGGTTTATTCTCACAATCATCTTCGTTCATCATCCCCAGCGGAAACGAAGAATCCAACTCTATTCTCCAGCAGCTATTAGGGATTTATTTTCCCCAGCTAGAAACATTACATTTCCATACATCATGATACATGCATATACGCATCATACAACACAATCTCATCTATTTTGAGAACATCATTGCTTGATCCATATCATGCATTGCATATGACTGACCTCTACCTTTCAGGAAAGATGCAGTTAAGTTCTCAACAGTCGAAGACTTGATCGGTTCTTAATTTTCAACTGAATTATCCTCGGTTGAATTTCAGATAAGGTTCTCAATCTCGACAATTTTCCTCTGTCATAGTGTGGATGAGTTCTATAATCTCAATGGTATAATACGTTGAATACTAGACAGTACCTAGATCTTGATGAAGATGTTTCCCTACGTCATAGTGTGGACGAGTTCAATAATCTCAATGGTATACTACGTTGAAGACCAGACAGTTCCTAGATCTTGATGTTTTCCTCCGTCATAGTGTGGACGAGTTCTATAATCTCAACAATATACTACGTTGAATACTAGACAGTTCCTAGATCTTGATGAAAATGTTTCCCTACGTCATAGTGTGGATGAGTTCTATAATCTCAACGGTATACTACGTTGAAGACCAGACAATTCCTAGATCTTGATGTTTTCCTCCGTCATAGTGTGGACGAGTTCTATAATCTCAACGGTATACTACGTTGAATACTAGACAGTTCCTAGATCTTGATGAAGATGTTTCCCTACATCATAGTGTGGACGAGTTCTATAATCTCAACAGTATACTACATTGAAGACCAGACAGTTCCTAGATCTTGATGTTTTCCTCCGTCATAGTGTGAACGAGTTCTATAATCTCAATGGTATACTACATTGAAGACTAGACAGTTCCTAGATCTTGATGTTTTCCTCCGTCATAGTGTGGACGAGTTCTATAATCTCAACAGTATACTATGTTGAATACTAGACAGTTCCTAGATCTTGTTGTAGATGTTTCCCTACGTCATAGTGTGGAAGAGTTCTACAATCTCAACGGTATACTACGTTGAAGACCAGACAGTTCCTAGATCTTGATGTTTTCCTCCGTCATAGTGTGGACGAGTTATATAATCTCAACGGTATACTACATTGAATACTAGACAGATCCTAGATCTTGAGGAAGATGTTTCCCTATGTCATAGTGTGGACGAGTTCTACAATCTCAACGGTATACTACGTTGAAGACCAGACAGTTCCTAGATCTTGAAGTTTTCCTCCGTCATAGTGTGGACGAGTTCTATAATCTCAATGGTATACTACGTTGAAGACCAGACAGTTCCTAGATCTTGATGAAGATGTTTCCCTACGTCAAAGTGTGGACGAGTTCTACAATCTCAACGGTATACTACGTTGAAGACCAGACAGTTCCTAGATCTTGATGTTTTCCTCCGTCATAGTGTGGACGAGTTCTATAATCTCAATGATATAGTACGTTGAAGACCAGACAGTTCCTAGATCTTGATGAAGATGTCTCCCCCAGTTGAATTTCGGACGAGTTCTACAATCTCAACGGTATACTACGTTGAAGACTAGACAATTCCCAAATCTCAACAAAAACCAGGCTTCCCCAGCGGAATCTTCTACAAACAACAGGTATGCAAGTTCTCACTAAGGAATCTCTTATGCGATCGACGCTCCTGTAGATGGCATTTGTAAGCCCATCCTCCTACCAACAATCTCCAAATGGCATATGTAAGTCCATTCCTGACATCACGAGGCTGATACCACTTCATGCGAGTGCAAATTTCTGGGCACTCTAGTGTTCAATCATCTTCCACCTTCGGATCACGAAAGGCACGAAAGCCAATCTACATCCTCAAGTTTAAGAAGATTGAACAGGGGCAGCTGTTGTACCCCAAAATTCACTACAAGAAAATTGGCAGATTGCGATAGGTATTTTTGTAGATTACGACGGTTAAAACCGTCGCAATTTGCTTTCCACGACGGTTGCTTTACCGTCGCAGAAGTGTGTGTCCCCAACCTATTTCGCGACGGTTACAAAAACTGTCGTTCAAGTTTACGACGGGTTTGGAGCTGACATAATCAAGTATTGGTGACTGTTTGATACCGTCGTGACTATCTTTTGAGTTTCTTTTAATTATTGATGGCGACGGTTCGATACTGTCGTGAATATCTTTTGAAATTGATTAAATTGTTTATGGCGACGGTTCAATACCGTCATGAGTTTTGTTGATTATTTTTAATTGTTGATTACGACGGTTCGATACTGTCACCATGACTTTTGTTTATGTCTTGATTTTTTTTTATTTTTCTATTATATATATTTTTTATTTAAATTATTATCTATGTAAAAAATTTTAACTATAGTTTTTTTTTGTGTTATTTTTTTCTTTAAATTATTTCTTCTTTAATATATTTATTTTTTGTTTTATTTTCTATCACTTTGTAATATAGTAAAAATAATTTCAATAAAAAATATTTAACATCAATGATATGCACTGGTCCAAAAAGATTGAGCACCCCAGCTCCCCCTCCAATCGATGTGCACACAGATGTTTTTACCAATAAGGGTGTGCAAATTTGGTAGGTGGTAAGATACTAAAATCAATCATAAATCTCTACAGAATATCCTTCCCAACAAATTTTTTAAGTTCTTCCTTTGCTGCTTCCATCACCACTTTAAAGTCTATCTTGGTATACCTTCCCCTGCAATCCACAATTAAAACTTCAGTTTAGCAACTTATGAATGATATATAATATGTAGACAACCAACGTCGAATAAACATTGAACCTTCAGCAAAAATAGGAGTGGAAAAATGAAAGAATGGAAATTGCTCGCTAGAGTTTCCCCTTTTGTTACAAACTAAAACTAAAACTAAAACTTTAAATAGAAAACCCGACAAAGGTTTACTTAATGATATTACCGGTGTAAGGTTTACATATTGATACTACATAAAAGCCACACAATTCATTTTATACCACCAAGTATTTAAAAACATGGAATAAAAATAAAATTCATCGTACCAGAAATGGGTTTTACCCCATATTGTATAAGGGTAGGCTGGGCTTGCAATTCCGTGCATAACCCTCGCAACAGCTCTTGGTGTAAAGCGAGCATGTGAACTGCTCTGTAGAAAAACCTGGTAATCCACAAAGGAACGGGTCATTTTCAAAGTTCCTTCTTCCAAACATAATTTGTATTGAGTTTATTTAAGATTCTCAGAATGCTTGTGACAACTCACCTTTATATCTGCCCGCAGGAAAGGACTGCATATGTAAATACCAGCTATTTTAGTACAAGATCATGGCAGCATATAGATGAAATATATCCTTATCATCAAATAAGTAGGGTTGGAACTTGCAATAATTTTTTTGGACATAAACTAGAAAGACAATTATATTTTCCGATTTTCAATACACGGAAGAATTTAAGATCATACAGCTTAAAGTCATTTTAGAAGTCATTGATTAAATGTATTCTTTTCTACAAAACTTGAGACAGAAATTAGTAAGAACCTGCTTTGATCGATTTTCTTGCAGAAATCAATATTATCAATTCCAGCAAAGTAGTCCAATATTATCCTTTGCAAGCATAAAGTGTGATCGGCACTACTGCAACCGTTCATCTTATCACATAGATTGACTGCAAAATATGCAGCATTAAACATTGCATCCATTTTCCGCACCTATAAAAGAAGCAGAAAGCCTTGAGAAAATAAACAATCAGTAATAAATTAACTTTACAAACACAAAATATGCAACACATAATCTAAATATCCACCCAGTAAAAGTTCCTGATTCGGGGGTCTGGACTTTATGAGTTACTGATGATTGAGAGAAATATGAGGCAACACCATAATAACTACATTTCAATCTTTGGGTTCCATTAAAGGAAAACTGTGCATAAGATACATCATCCTAAATAAATATAAATACCATAATGAATAAATTCCTGATAAATTTTTCATAAACTACTTACCTTATAACTTTCAACTTCAGATAACCATTTGGTAATATCTGCCGATAGAGACAATAAGTCTGTTGGGACTTCAAGAATCCTATAACAGTAGGCCATGTCTTTCATTTCATAAGTTATTTCTCCCTTCAACTGAGAATTTTTCACAAATAACAATATTAGATTGCACAGACCAGATCACAATTATACTGGCAGAGCTGGGCCAAATTGGCCAGGAGTCTCAAACTAGAAATCAAATAGAAATATATACTTCGAAAATAAATTAACCACAAAATTAAATTTTTAAAACCCCTTACGCACCACAAGACTTTAACTCAATGCACACAGACAAACAAACACCACATACCTAGTTCAAAACAAAATATACAGCTTCGTTGTATTATTGATAATATGAAGCCATTACATATGATGCCAAAGATTTTCAAGACAAAGAAATGCAGAAAATTTTTATAAGATGATTACAAAAATAAAGAAATAAATCATGTTGCAAGTATTTATGGCTAAATTTAAAAGGTAAACCTACAATATTATCACTAAATTTTCTTTCAAACACATAGATCAGTAATTTTAACAGGAGTATTGTAGGCTAATCAGAGATTTGATGCAGGGGTAACAAGGGGAAGTACTTGTCCTATGAATCTAAATTAGGTAGCAACCATGAATCAATAACTTTATCCATTGTGGAAAAGTGATATTAATTGTTTGAAGTCTAAAATTTTGAACTAAAGTGTTAAACTATCTTCTGGTATGTATTATGTAAGTCAACCATGCACTTAAACAAGCTGGATATGACTTCTCTCATACTTCGTCATTGCAGAGTAGTGAATTTAATTTAAATTAGGTACAAATTTAGTTACTCGGAAGAAAAAAGACATCTCGTGCACTTTCTAAACATATTTTGCTATGTCCACATACAAGCTCAAGAAAGAAAATGCAGTTATCCACTAATTCAAACCTTTAGGTCATACAACTGATTTGTTAATTCAACTGGTGTGACCCCCATGTCATTTGCCACAGTTGGAAGATCAAAAGTATGTTGTCCGTGTCTATTTTCAGATCTGAAAACACACGATGATAATTCAGTTAAACAATAGATGTATAAGCATAAGTAAAATTGGAACAGCCATTCTAGTGATCATAATAAGAAAGTCGTGAAAAAGCCAAGTGTCATCGGCCAGTATGCCTCCCTTTTGTAGAAATTGAACATTTGGATCAGATTCCATCTTGAGGTGGACAAAATTAAAATAACTAATAACATAACAACCATCCATTTCAGGGGAAAAAGGTTTGTACAAAAGGCTAAGAATATAATATGTTTACTATTACCTTTTCAGAATCACAGCAATAGCAGAAACCTTTTGGGCAAGGGACATAGCCGGAGTCTGCATTAGTGCCAAAAATTAAAAATATAAGCAAACGAATAATTGCTCAAACTGCATTTATCTTTCTAACTTTCAGTTAAAAATTAACAGACAAGATTGAAATGTCTCGTTTGAATCTCTTCATTATGTAGTTTATACTATAGTTAAAAATATAGTTAACATAAATAGGTTATTGAATTTATCTCATATGACATATTCTACATGCAACTGAAGGTCTGTTTGCACACACCTTGTAAAAATTCAGAACACAAGTAACATTTGTCTGTGGAAGTAAATGTAAGTACTGCACATCACCCAGCTCTAAGCGTGTCAAAACTGTGAGAATCACCTAGCAAAAGAAATATTGGAGAAACGTTTTAACTTGTAGAACTAGTCTGAAAAAAGTAACATCTAATTATCTAGAGTTCCCTTGTAACAGAAAGTTCTGTTACTAGCATGTGTATATCTATTACCGTATTTAATGGATAAATGACTGATGCCTATAACTAGATAGTTTCCCATAAAAAATAAAATCCCAATCACCTCCTAGAAACTGCACCTTAGTTTTATTTGGCCTCAAATTAATCTTGACTTCATGGGTTTTAAATACTTAACAAGTAGATAGATTAACCAAAAACCACATTTTTGCACAAAAAGTAAAAACAAGGATCGGTTGCGAAGTAAGAAACACTCCTAAAAGCTGCATTAAGTCAAAGCATGCATGCTCCACAGATAACAATGCTAATGATTATTCTCTTATGGAACCAAATACAAAATCTTCGGTGCTCCTGAGATTGCTATCATAAATTTACAGTTATCCCTCTTGACCATCAATATATCAGTATGGCCAACTCCCAACTGGATGTTACAAAAGTCTAAATTTGTAAATGAAAATCAGTCATCTGGGTTATCAAAGTATATAAATAAATGTATATAGTATATTAATATAGAGCAGAGGACCTCTTCCTTCATGTCAAATCTGCGTGAAGCAGATTCTTTGATTAACGAACATATTTTCCCACAGGAGCTTTTGTCAGCAGGAAACACTTCAGACATAAATTTATTCACTGCATATTCATCTACTCCTTCACTAAGGATAAAAAATTACATCAAATGAAGAACAATTTGAAAGCATGAAAAATAGAAAAAGAAGTGTGTTAGTGTCTTACCTGTACATTAGACTACGGAGTTTGAAATACATCTCATCATCATAAAATAGGTGACAGTAGGACAACCTTCCATCTCTCCCAGCACGTCCTATTTCCTACAATGGCCATTCCATTTAATAAGAAAAACATTTGATAAAACATCTCAATGTGCTACTATTAGAATTTAGAAGACATGCTGAGTAAATAGGAAGCAAGCAAGAATTTCTAAAAATGATAGTTTTATTAACACACAAGTAAAACAATGTCAATAAATTTCACATCTAGTTTTTAAGGGATGTGGAATGAAATAATCTCAAACAAACAATGTCATTAAAACTAAAAGATCTAGAGTGCATAGTCATACTTCTTTGCTGTATCTCTTTTCCTACTAAATGTATATTGGGAATGAGACAAGTTGGGAGTAGTTTATTACTGGCTTCTCAATCAGCTTTGGAAGAGCAAAATATGTGTCATCCCTCTAAAAACCAGCATAGGGTAAAATGCAAAAACAACCATAAGCTTCAGAATAACCTTTGCAGTTACATGATAACATGAAATAATTAAAATCTCTAGTCTTGAATGTTACTCAACTGTAAAGTGATCTTTTTAATAGTGAAAACATTCAGTGGGATGTACAAGTTCCAATAATTACCTTAGAAACAGATGCAAAAATACATATCACATTGGAATTCTTCAACTCCAAAAGCCCAAGTTTTATGAAGGGTCACTCTTGACAAAAATCAAAAATCAAAAATTCAAAAATATGGTTGTAAACTAATGACAATATCCAATTATCCAAAAACATACAAGGTTCAATGACCAAATTTATATAAGCAACTAAGCATATAACCTGTTCAAAACCACTCTTTTTCAATAATATATGAAATAGTTATCCCCTGCAAGAGATTAGGAAGAAGTCAAACAAAAGTTTACAATTTTTTTTTCTTTTTTCAGTACGCTTCATCCAAAACCTGACATCCAGAGATTTCAAAATAAGATTACAAAACTTATTCCTTGAGCAGATAAAAAAAGTGGGTTGATTTAAAGTAGCAGAAACAAGTTCAACAACAATTAAGTTCAACTACCTCAATCTTCTGTGCTTTCACAATAAGAATATCCATATTTTCCTGCAAAAACTCAGTTTAGACTTTGGATTAGAAAAGAAGAATAAAAGTTACAAATTGTTTTAGACATAGAACTTAAGTTTCACATAACAAACCCTAAAATAAGTCGAAATAAATACAATACCGATTGTGCAGAGGGAAAGAATACAACAAATGTTGAAGATGTTGTATGTTGTAGGGTTTTAAATCGTTATTCCCTTCTGTCTATTTTCTTTGTGTTATTACTCGATACCCTTTCCCCTTGTGATTATGAATGCTATAACTTGTATTGCTCATTGAATCGTGAATAAATTGGGGTTTTAGGGTTTATTGTTGGTGATTGGGTTTAATGTCGATATGAATGCTTGTTGTGATGTTTGAATCACAAAGAGCTCAACCCTAAGATTCATGTGAATCTCCAATGGTGAAATCAATGTTAAAGAATGAGAGAGATATGTGAAGATGAGAACAAAGAAAAAGTGTTATAGAAAACTTACCGGTTGGAAGATGAGAGATGTTCGAAGAATAGTGACGCAAGAGGACATTAGAATGTATCAACTTCATAGAATATATAATAATGCATAAACTTAACCTTAACAAGAGAGAACTTAAATATACATAACAATTATAATTAGATAAAATATATAAGTTAGCAAGAGATTTTTAAAGGTTTTGGGTGCGACGGTTGTTTTACCGTCGTGAAATGAATTTTAGGACGGATAATTTTACCGTCGTGAAAGGTTTAAGGGTGCGACGGGTGCTTTACCGTCGTAATATGCCTTTTAGGATGATTAATTTTACCGTCGTGACTAGTTGTTGGTGAAAAATCAATGTTAAAAGTGTTAAATGGAGGCTGACGGTTGTTTTACCGTCGTAATAATAATATTATGATGGTTAAATATACCGTCGCAAAATAAATTTTAGGGACGGTTGGTGTCAACTGTCGTAAACACTGTCTCTATATGTCAATTACGACAGTTATCACATAACTGTCGCAATTTTTGTGTCGTTAAACACTAATTTTCTTGTAGTGATTTTCCCTCTCATATTTCTCCAAACATTGCAAGAAAGATCTCCAAGTGGCTCAAGATTGCTCAAGAGTTGGACAGTCAAGTCATCTCCTGAGGCAGTCAACCTCAAATTAAGGTTTTGTGTTGCATCAAGATCCTTGGGTAAAAATGACCTCAAGTGCTCCCCAATGTCCTAATATGTTCTCAAGGTCATCCATGTCAAGTTTCAAGCCTTGCAGAGGAAGTTTACTCAGTCAATTGCTCAAAGGGTCCAAAAATCGACTGTGCTAGGTAGGAGTGTTCAAATCCAAACCAATCCAAATGAAAAACCGAAAACCGATCCAAAAAACCAAAAACCATAAAAAAACGAAAGTTATTGGTTGTGTTTGGATGTTATTGTTAGAACAAAGTTTGAATCTACTACCCTAAGTTAAAGTTTTGATGATAACAAAATGCAAGATTAAATAAATTGTATAATTCATATGAGACATATATGCTACCTAAAAATTATATTGTGCATTTATAGAAACTCTGATGGATATCAGCATAAGAATGTCAACATCAGCATCAGAAGATGAAATATCATATGCAAGCATCAGAAGATGAAATATCATATGCCAGCATCAGAAGATCAAAGCATGTGCTTACGCTGAAGCTTGATGAACAGATCTGCGCTTAACATACTCTAAACTCTGATCAAGACCAAAACAATATCATCAGCACCTAGAAGCGTCAGAATAAGCCAAAGCCAATAACACGCTGAATTGACAACGGTATTGTGCATTCAAGACACTTTATTACTAACGGCTTTATTCCAAGACAAAGATCTTCTCAATATGGAAAGAACGTAATGGGCATTGAAATGGAATAATTGACTACAACGTATCTTTTCCAAGGCTATATAAACAAGTCAGTGAGAAATGAATTGGCTAATGCTCTACAACTCTTTACACGCCTAAAGCAAATCATCTTCATCCTCACTCATACAACTTGTTATATCTCTCAAATTGCTTACTCTATAGTTATAGCATCCTAGTTTCACATAAGCTTAATTTGTGTATTATCACAGTTGTGATATAATGTTTTTGTAAGAAACATTCAACACACATAGTATTCATTTATCTGTAAGAAAGAATTTCCTTGAGAAACCGGTCTGTGGTTTAGACTCAAGAAGGCTTTAGCAGTTGTTAAAGCAGTTGTAATATTCAGTTGAATATAGTGGATTAAGACCTCGTTGGAGAGAGGAGAAATCATCTTGACGGGTGGACTGGAGTAGTTTGAGATAAAATGAACCAGGATAAAATAACGTGTTGTCTGCATTTGATTTCAAGTTTTACAATTCAACCCCCCTTCTTGTGTTTTTCACTTCTTCAATTGGCATCAGAGCGTCTGGTTCTGAGCTAAAACACTTAACTGTGTCAGTACTAGATCCAGCGTCAGAAAAACACAATGGCAGGAACATATCAACACACAAGCAATGACAACAATGAAGATAGAGACAGATTCAGCGGCAAACCTCCAGTCTTTGATGGAGAGAATTTTGATTACTGGAAAGACAGAATTGAAAGCTTCTTTCTGGCACATGATGCTGATCTGTGGGACATGGTGACAGATGGATACACGCGCCCTGTGAATGCAAGTGGTCAGAAGATTGACAAGAAGGCAATGTCTGATCAACAAAAGCGTGACTTCAAAAATCACCACAAGGCCAGAACTATCCTTCTCAGCGCCATCTCTTACGCTGAATATGAAAAGATATCTAACAGAGACACTGCAAAGAGTATGTTTGACTCTCTCAGAATGACGCATGAAGGCAACATTCAGGTCAAAGAAACTAAAGCTCTTGCGCTCATTCAGAAGTATGAGGCATTCAAAATGGAAGAAAGTGAATCAATTGAAACGATGTTCTCAAGATTTCAAATTCTGGTGGCTGGTCTCAAAGTTCTGGACAAAGGGTATTCTACTGCTGATCATGTCAAGAAGATCATCAGAAGCTTTCCAAAATAGTGGAGGCCAATGGTTACAGCGCTGAAGCTAGCTAAAGATCTCAACAAAATCTCTCTGGAGGAACTTATCAGCTCCCTCAGAAGTCACGAGATAGAGCTAGAAGTTGATGAACCTCAGAAGCAAGTTAAGCCTTTAGCTTTAAAATCTAACAGAAAATATGACTCCAAAGTTTTGCAGGCTATTGAAGAAACCTCTGATGGGTCCTCATCAGAAGAAGACGAACTTTCCCTCCTCTCCAGAAGAGTGAACCAACTATGGAAGCAGAGGCAAAGAAAGTTCAGGAATACCAGAAGATCCGATCAGAATGAGTCCTCCTCCAGATACCCAAGGTCAGACTCCTCCTCTGGATACAGAAGATGTGAAGGCTCTTCAGGAAGCAAAAAGCCAAACACCAAGGACATCATCTGCTATGAATGCAACGAGCAAGGACACTATAAGAGTGACTGTCCAAAGCTTCAGAGGGAAAATCCCAAAAAGAAGTTTGGAAGCGAAAAGAAGAAGAGTCTCATGGCTACATGGGATGACTCTGACTCGTCTGAAGCTGACTCAGAATCAGATGATGAGAGAGCAAACATAGCTCTCATGGCTAACATATCATAAGACAGTGAAGCTTCTGAATCAGACTCTGAATCAGACACCGAAGAGGTATTCCCTGACTTTGCAATTAATTTTACTAAGGTTGAACTTTCTGAAAGCCTTAACGAAATTCCTGAAAGATATCAGCAGATCAGAGTTAAATTCAGAAACCTGAAAAGGAATCTTGATTCTGACTCTGATAAAACTGAGAGTCTCAAATTGGAAAATTCTGAGTTGAAAAATAAAATTTCAAAATTAGAAAATCTTTTACAAAACTCTCAGAAGGAAACAATTTCTGAAACTCCCAGCAGCGCTAATGAGATCATCAAGGAGTATGATCACAACTTTCAGAAGTTCCTTGCTAAAAGCATAGATATAAGCAAAATGGCTTCAATGATCTATGGAGTTAGCAGAAACGGTAGAAAGGGAATAGGATACCAAGGTAAGGTACCTACACCAAAGAATGCCATGGATCTAATTATTAAACGCACTCCTCTGAATTCACACTTTGTGTATGGTCACACACATGACATTAAATATACTAGTAGTAATTATTCTGTGAAACCAAAATTCAACCAGAGTTTTGGTAAAACTAACAAATCAGGACCCAAGAAAATATGGGTACCTAAGCATAAAATAATACATGTTGCAGATATCTTTAGCAGCAAATCAGAAACACCAGTCATGGTACCTGGACTCTGGCTGCTCACGACACATGACGGGAAGAAGGCATATGTTCCAAAGCCTGGAACTTAAGCCTGGAGGCCACGTAGGCTTTGGAGGCAATTAGAGGGGAAAGATCATTGGCTCTGGAACAGTAGGTAATGGAAATCTTCCCTCTATAAATAATGTTCTATTAGTAGATGGATTAATGCATAATTTGTTATCCATAAGTCAACTAAGTGATAACGGTTATGATATAATCTTTAATCAAAAATCATGTAAAGCTGTTAGTCAGAAAGATGGGACTATCCTATTTAATGGACAGAGGAAAAACAACATTTATAAAATCAAACTTTCTGAACTGAAAAGTAAGAATGTAAAGTGTCTTCTGTCTGTTAACAACGAGCAATGGATCTGGCACATAAGATTGGGGCATGTTAGTATGAGAAGAATATCTCAGATTAACAAACTCAATCTGGTCAGAGAACTTCCTAATCTGATGTTCAATTCAGATGCTCTGTGTGAAGCATGTCAGAAAGGCAAGTTTGCAAAACCTTCTTTCAAATCTAAAAACGTTGTTTCCACCTCTAAGCCATTAGAACTTCTGCACATTGACTTATTTGGACCAGTTAAAACTACTTTAGTCAGTGGCAAGAAGTACGGGTTAGTAATTGTAGATGACTATAGCAGATGGACATGGGTAAAGTTCTTAAGACACAAGGACGAGTCACACTCTGTGTTTGTCACCTTCTGTAACCAAGT